GCCCTAGGTCTTTGCGGGAGATACATTCTTGGGGGAAAGTGTGTGTACGTGTGTGCATGTGTAGGTGTGTGTGCACGTGTGTTTTAATATGATGGGGCATCAGAAATGGGAAGTCATTGCTTGTACTGGCATTCTTTTTGAGTTCCAGGCTGCCAGACAGTGATGAGCATACAGGGTAGGATCTTTATGCCTTCAATTAACTTTTTCAGTCTCTCAATAACTGAGTATGGCAGTTTGAGACAGAGACAATGATATGAGCGAGGATTTCAGGGGCTGAGTAGCAGCTATGCTATACGTCCTGGTTTTTTTCCAGCCTGCAATGTTCCCATAGATAGCACAAAGATCTAAAAACTGTTCCTGCTTTCTCTTTGCATGCAACCCACAAGATGAACGTCCACTTGCAGCCCCCAGGATAAGCCTGAGACAAAACATAATGGTAGTGGTGATATTTTCTAAACGCTTAGTTTTTTGTCAACCTGAGCTCTCTGTAATGACCAGACCGCCACATATAAGTGCTCTGAGAATAGGTGCTTGTATGATGATCGGGAGACACTGAGGATTCTGAAGTACTTTTTAAAGTATCCAACATATTTGACTATATGTCACATGGCTTTCATGGAGTTTATTTGAATCTTTTTTTTTTAAGATTCAAATCTATATGAGTTTCATACATGGTAACTCTCGTAATCACAATATTTGATTAAGCTGAGCTTTCTGAGGTGCTAGTTAACAAGCTGCTGTAATTCTCAAATGTCTCTTTCCACAGGTCTGTGCCTGGGCTGGGCACGGGGCTGATAAGGGATCTTGGTGACTACTAGAATTCCTGGCACTCACAGGTGCTCCTGAAGTGTAAGTGACCTTACACTGTCCAGGAGGCGCTGCAGGAATTGGCCCTGGAGCCCTCACCAAGGATTAGAGGATGGGCCCCACAGTGCCAGGCTTAACAGGCCATGTAATGCAGATAAAACAAGAACTGACTTCAGCATCTGCCCTGAACTCACACCAAGAACTTTCTGAGGCAAAAAAAAAAAAAAAAAAAAAAAAATTCCCGTTAATTAGTGAACGTGCAGCTAAAGATCTTCACACATGTACACTGTGCAATGTTGACTGAACCCAGATCACAAGAGACGAAGATCACTTAGTGATATTCCCCGGCTGACCCATGGAGAGAAGCAAGGTCAAAAGCCTCCTGTCTCTCCAGGATTGCGGCAAAAGTTCAGGGAGCAGAGAGTGGGGAATTAGCACACCGAATGAAACCAGAATCATCTCTGAATGCATTTCACCCAAGGCCACTTAACAAACTTTTAAAATTATCTCAGAAAAATAGTTGCTGGGACTATTGCCCTTGAAAAACCAAGAGGACCATCATGGGACAGATTTTAAATCAGACCCATGCATTGTGCAACACATTCGATTGTCCCTATTTTAGGAGTCAGGCCCCACCCTGCGTTGTTCACACACCCCAGCTTTGCAACAAAAATATCTTCAGATTCACATGAGACTAAAATGCAGCCGGACTTCAGGACACAGTCTCCGCTCCTGCGTTCCCACATCCCCAGGCCGCTGGCCAGCCCGTGCTTGCTGGGACAAGGTGGTCAGCATACCCCCTGCTTACCTCCAGCACAATTTCTTTCAGTTGGAACTGTTTCTGCGCGACTTTGTCTGAAGACACGGGCTCGTGGTAGTAGAGGCAGAGCAAGTCGTATTTCTTCAAAACCTGCTTGAAGTTCTTCTCAGTGAGGCTTACCACGCGGTCCTTGCCGTCATACGTGGGGAAGTTGAGTCCCTCTTCTGCCCTGCAGGAGGACAGCAGGTAGACCCCCACGATGAACAGGTGCGTTCTCTTCATCTGGGAACAGTTTTCGTTTCACTTTCCCAGAAAGACTGAGGGCAGGAAAGTGGCCGGAAGACTCTCAGAGGTCTGGTTGCAAGAAGCGGGGGAGCAGAGAGGCAGATTTGGTCCCTCCTCTCTATCCCTCCTGGGCCCGGAGGACCAACTCTCCACTGCCTGGGCTCCAGCTACTAGTACTCCTGGGCACAGGACACAGGCGTGCGGCGACTGAGGGCCGGGCCGGGCCAGGCCCCAGATACCTCGCATAACTGGGCCCAGCCCCTGTCTCATCAGGAACTCCATTTTTAGGATGCAGTTGTCTCAGGCTAAAAATAAATCATGCAATGAATAAAAAAAAAAAGTTAGATATGACACTGTTGAGGGATTCGCTGATACAGTTTGTCAGAGGGGTAGCAAGGGAGGAGGCAGGAGGGAAAGAGGAGAACTCGTGCACAAGGAATAAGGAGGACAGCAAGGTCAGGGAAGAGAAACTCAAGAAGGAAGGAGAAAAGATGAGAGGGGAGAGAGATGGGACCATAAACGAGACAAGCTAGTGGAGACGTCTGCATGTACACAGGGCCACCCAGGCCTCGGAATCGTTCCGTTAAGGAGAGAAGTCAGCCTGTCCCCTCTGGGTGGGCTGCCTGTCCCCCTACCTACTCATTGCTCACACAGTCCAGTCCAGGCGGACTTCACGTTCTGCACCTGCCTTTCCCCGCCCCCCCCCCCCATCCTCTCTTCTTGGGAACTGGGCCCCGGGTGGCCTCTGTGCCATGCTCACATGGCCCTGACAGGCACTGGGCAAGGGATACAGGGACACCCTCCCTGTCAGAACCCCCGCACTGGGGCCTCAGTTCCTCTCCTTCCACCCCTGCCCACAGCTGAACACTGCTAACACCAGGAAAATCCATCTCCATTTTAAAATAAATTTAAACTACTTTAAATAAAGTAAAAGTTCAACAGTCTTCCTCAGAAATTCTCTTAAACTCTCTTAGATTATGACAGAACATCTCTGTTATATCTCTTTTTTTACCTTAACCCCTAATGTGTCATTTTTGTCCCTTTCCTCTTCATTAAAGACAGACTGGTACACAGAGTCTGGAAGTTGGACAGATGACAGCTCCAATCCCCGTTCTGCCTTTTAATGGCTGGATGCACTTTGAAGCGTCACTCACTCTCTCTGGTTCTCAGTTCCTCCCCCTGCCTTGTTATGAGGATAATTATGACTATATTGTAAGGTTTGGAACACAGAGATGGAAAAGCATCGTACAAAGCAGGTGCGTGGTAGCTATTATATTTACTTCATTCTCACTGGAGATGGTGGAACATAGGTTATTATAAGACTTGTCCGTTTCTAATAATAGTGGTTTGTGAATCCTTTCCGGTCCACTTTCTCCTTGAACCAAGCAGGCAATTGGGGCAGAGTTGATAAGCGCTCATTTCACAGGTGAGCTAACTGAAATTCAGAGAGATCAGCAACTTGTCTGAAATAGCCTTCCTAACTGCCAGTGTGAGGATTTCAGGTGCTGCTGGCTGCTTTAACTATGACTCAGGGCAATTTCTTAAGTGGTTCCTCGACCATCCTTTCTGGTCAAACAACAGGCCAGTCATGTCTTTCCACTCTTTAGAGTGGTCTATGGGTCTTAAAATTTGGACCAAAGTTTTGTCTTCCTTTGGTTGGAAAATCAGCTTTGGAAAGAGTGAGGACTCACTCACGCACAACATTTACAGAGGATTTAAGGAAAAGAGGTTTGTCATCCTACTCGAGGAAGACCAGGCCCCTCCTCTACAACCAGAGGGCCTTATGCTGAGAAGTAGGGTGACAAGGAGCTGTCAGGACACTTTCATGTCCAGGAAGCCAGGACCTTGGAGAACCCATCAGTGAAAACGTGAAAACCTTCAGTTCTTTCTAAAGGTGAATTCTCTCTGCTTTTAAAAATGGAGCCAAAAATAGCCATTCTAAGGCGTGGTTAACTTTCCAGGTCATTGGCAAGCACCAGAGATCTCTGCTTTCTTTAGAAAATTTCCCAGGAACAAGATTTCCGAGTGAAACAATGTATGTCTTGTCTTTTCCAGGTCAGTTTCCCAAACCTGTTCCCATTGTCTCAATCTCACAGGGTTACCTTTATTTAGAATATGACCCACTTTTCTTAATATGAAAGGTTTTTAAAATTTTACTGAAAAATTTGGAAATATTTAAAGTCAGAGTCTTTGAATTTCTTGACTTGAAACTGATAAAAAGTACCAAGGAAAAGAAATACATTTGGAAAATGTAGTTTAAGCCTTCAAGTCTGGCTTCTGATCAACTGCAGGTTAACAGAGAGAAGCTCTAGTGTGGAAAGTTCCAGTCCCCAGATCCTGGACTCTACTGGGGGCTTCACAGCCCAGCCCCGAGGACACATGCTGTAGAAATCAGGTTTCTCATATGGTTTCACTCTTATGTGGATCCTGAGAAACTTAGCAGGAACCCATGGGGGAGGGGAAGAAAAA